GCTGCGCAGTGAGCCAGCCAGAAGCTAACCTGCCAAGTGGCATCAGGGGGCTTGAGATGTCATCTTAAAAACTCCACAGGTAGGGGCGCCTGGGTGGCTCAGTCATTAAGCATCTGCCTTTGGCTCGGGTCATGATCCCAGGGTCCTGGGATGGAGCCCTACATCAGGCTCCTGCTCAGATGGAAGCCTGCTTCTCCCTCTCCCACTCCCCCTGCTTGTGTTCCCTCTCTTGCTGTGTCTCTCTGTGTCAAATGAATAAATAAAATCTTTAAAAAAAAAAAAAAAAAAAACTCCACAGGTAGTTTTCTAAGGGACACATTCATATCTTCCTCTGTTGTCCTTCAGGAGGCAAAAACTCAGGCAAAGGCTACAGATCCAAACTTCCGGCCTCTCTCAAGTGTTTTGCATTAACTGTTCCACAGTACAAACACAATCAACTTGGTATGTTTGAATGCTTCATTTTGTTTTTTCAAAAATCTTTTAATTAAAACAAAATAATCAGCCATGCTAAGCACATTGTTGTTTTTTAAAGGCCACTTTAAAAATGATGACAGTACCATGGAAATAAAATTCAATTGTTTAGGAAAATGATGGAAGTTTGTTTTCTTCTTCTTCTTTTTTATTTTTTTTTCCTGGCTGTTTTTCTGTGTCTCAGGCTGGTGCCACCTGCTGCCTGGGCTTTCCTCTGAGAAACGGATCTCTTAACCGTTTGCTCCAATCAACATCTGCATAGTTGAACAAACCATGGGCCAGTTCCAAGGAAGACACTACGTTCTGTATGTAGCACACACTGAACCATACTGAATTTCTTTTTAAGACATTTTTTAAAAGTATTATAAAAGATCCAAATGCATGTGCATGAACTTCCCCTCATGTATCTTTTTTAAGTAAAATATACATAAAATACACCATTTTAACCATTTTTCCTATACGTCTCTTAAAAATAGTAAACAGAAAATGTAAAGGGTTCATTTATTCACCAAAACCAAGTCTCCTTTTCACCTTTCCAGACCAGTGAACACTGGAAAAAAAAAAATCAATACATATGGACCTAAAGCACACCTTGGCAAAGTATAACTCGGGCCCAATCTGACCTACTCCCTGGTTTTGTACAGCCCATGAGCTAAGAATGTTTTTTTAAATTTTAAATGATTGAAAATAATCAAAAGTAATATTTTGTGACATGAAAATTATATGAAATTTTCAAATTTCAGTGTCCATAAAGTTTTATTAGAACATAGCCATGCCCATTCATTTATATTTGTCTCTGGTGCTTTTGTCCTACAAGGTCAGAGTGGAATAACCACAGAGCCTACAAAGCCCAAATTATTTACTGTCTGGCCTTTAAAAAAATGTCTGTCAACGCCTGACCTAGGACCTCATTATAGGACCCCAAATTCTAAACTAAAGATGTTATATTGCCCATCACCAAAAATATCTAATCTGTACATTGTGAAGTTATTTAAAGCAATACATTTTATCTTCATCATTTATTGCTGTTGCTTTAACTATGCTAAATAGTGATATTATCAATAATATCTATATTAAGTACACCAACTTGCTATTTATTAGTAGTGGGCCTAAATGGAACTTCTTTTTTGCTTTCAGATTTATAAAAGGTTTCACTGCATATCTCAAACATTTAAATAGATTTGTCTAGAGGCCAAAACAAATTTTCATAAAAACATCAGAGTTCTTTGATATCGGGTCAGTTTTGACAGTTTTGTTTCTTAAAATACTCAAAGCATAAAAACAATGGGTCGACATAAAAGTATGAAAGCATGTCAGTTCACTTTACTCCTATCAGCCCCTGTGTTGCATTCAGGTAAACTAACATTAATGATATCCCTAGGGGCGCCTGGGTGGCTCAGTTGGTTAAGCGACTGCCTTCGGCTCAGGTCATGATCCTGGAGTCCCGGGATCGAGTCCCGCATCCTCCCTGCTTGGCAGGGAGTCTGCTTCTCCCTCTGACCCTCTTCCCTCTCATGCTCTCTCTCTACCATTCTCTCTCTCAAATAAATAAATAAAATCTTAAAAAAAAAAAAAATGATATCCCTAAGAGGGATAGGGCTCTATACAGTATGAAGCTCTCACCGTTCCCTGAACTCATGGGTTTTATGGCAAGACATACTACTGGCTAACAGGATGAACGCTAGAGGAGGATTTGGAGGAGAATGAGCATCATAAAAGGTGTTCACAGCAAATGTAACCTGAGTTGAGAAGCTCTGTTGATGCACACCTGACAGCGCCCAAATGAAGTGAAAACCCAAGCAGGTAGCTTGCCTTAGGTGGAAAACTCAAATAGCACAATTCTACCCAGTCTTCTCTGCTCTTCCTACCTCTAGGGGCTCCCCTGCAGGTCAGTAAATTCCAGACAGGAGCCCACTTCAGAGAGCCCATCAGCCCTATGGCCCTGGCTGCTTTCCTCCTTGAAAAGGGAGTCTAGATTCTACTATCAACCTCTGTCTTCCTCCTTATCAGTTGTGAAGAAAGGGAGAGAATCTCAAAGGAAGAACAGAGAGGAGAAGGGAGATCGTTTGGGGTTGGTTATACACTGTAATTAGAACTAGCATTGATGGGGAATGAGCTGTTTTTATAAAGTCAGCATTCAAAAATGCAAACCAACAGTAATTTAAATATTACAAAATTGTGCAGAATATAAATATTGAAATAATTTTTTCCATCCACAAAATTTTAGAGAAAATTACAGTATCAAAATATATAAAATGGCAAGTTTGGCATATCCTCAAGGATTTAAAAAACTAGTAGACAGCCTTGGGACAGGATGTGATGCTTTAGACCATGTGGTATCTCCCTAAAACTGCTTCTGGAACTAAAAAGGAAAAGTCACTAAAGCCCTGGTGTACCTGGATGGTAGGAAAAATTGCTGGTGAGGCTTACTGCGGCGGGAACTTGGGCCACTTATCATAAATCATCTCACAATGGTTATTTATTTGTCCCTAACTCGGACTCCTAAATAAAAATGCACCAAGGTCTGAAGTTCAAACTGCCTAAGAGCTGCTATATTTGACCCCTCCTAGCAAAGCAAAGGTGCCTGAGGAGAGGATGCCACCTTCTAACAAACATAAGCAGAGCTGGCTCACTTAACACTTTTTAACAAACATAAGCAGAGCTGGCTCACTTAACTACTACTCTGCCCTTTCCAGAAGGGGAACCAGTTTATTTCCACCCATACCTCTCTCTCCGTAGAGGACATTAAATCCTGACCACACAGATGGCAAAGTGGAGCTGAGGGGTTACTAGGTTACAGTTATGTTGACATATCCTGGCTCTCAGAAAGTTCCTCCTTCATTCCTCACATACAGCAAATAGCAGAAGTGATCAAACTTCTGTAGCAGTTTTTGTAGAAGTCCCCTTGAAAGCTGCCGATCACTCAGAAACCACTTCTTGAGCCGAAGGTTTTACAGTACTTGGAGACCCCCTTCTACTGATCTAAAGCCAAGGTTTGCCTTTTACAGGGCTTAATCAGACTGGAAGCTCATAGCAATCTCAGGGCAAATGAGGTGTCTAGCACTTGGTGGTGTGAAGCACTATAAAAAGTATTATTAAAATATGTTTATTGACTGCCTTCTATATGTGGGTGTTACCTGCAGTATATCATTTTATCTTCACAACACCTGGCAAAGGGAGTGCGCACTATCCCTCCTTTACCGATGAGGAAACTGAGGCTTAGAGAGCTGAGTCATGGCCCAAAAATCACATAGTAAGTGACAACACCCAGTCCTATCATTTTCACTCATCCAAGCTGGTAAGTAAACAAAGCAACTCTTGAGTTTTCCTTCGGCAACAAAATCCTGTCTTTCCAACATCACAGTCTGCGACTTTGGGTGGAGAACCCTCAGCCGGTTTTCCTACTCCGGCAAACCGGTAATGAACCCTTCCCGTCCCTTTCACGAATGCCCAATTCTCAACACCCAGACAACCTGCAGAGAAATGTAACTGGGCCAGACAACGCCCTCGTGCCTGGTCTTCAACCTGGAAAAAGTTCTGCTGCAAAGAAGGGTGTGCATGGAAGCTAAGCAAAGTCCCAGCTTCCATCCTAGTCCAGGGCCCCACCTCGGGAAGACCTGGCCTTGGCCTTGGCCTGGGGAGTGGGTGACCCTGTTTATAAAGTGTAGGATTACCTGGGAAATGGGGCTCTGCATTGCACTTTCGGGATAAGCACCCTAAGATCTGTAGGGGAGGTTTCCCATCACCCCTTTTCTCCTCTCTCCAAGCTAGGCCCGCACCTGAGTTTTGGGAGGCTCAAAGCGGCCCGGGAGGTAATGAGGAGTCCCGGCTGGGTACAGCGGGTCGTCCCGCGACCCGGACCTGCCTCTTGCGGGGCGAGCAAGTCAACTCGACTCCTAGCAAGGCAGAAATTAGTGTCGGGCAAGCGGACGCAGCCGGGAACCGGGCAGAGAGGCTGGGCGTCCGCTGCGCTCGCCTCCGCTGCGCTCGCCTCCGCACCAGCTCCTGAGCCAGGAGGCGCGGGGCGCGGAGGCGTCGCCACGGGGCTTGCGGAGGGGATCCCGGCCCCGGGGAGTCGCTGAGGAGCTTGGGGAGAGGGTGTTGTAGCGTCTCGAGGCGGGGTGCGTCGCTGAGAGACAGGGCAGGATCCCGGGAGGTGCTGGGGCAGAAGGGGCATCCCGGGCCGGGGGGAGTCGCTGAGGAACTTGGGCAGGGGGTCCTGGGTCCTCAGGCTGAGGAGACGTCCCAGCCCAGGAGGCCTCGCTGAGGAGTCTGGCTAAGGGATCCGGGAGTAGGTCCTGAGGCAAAGAGGGCGCCCGGCCCCGGGGGGCGTCACTGAGGGGCTGGTGGGGCGGAAGCCCCGGGTTCTGAGGCGGGGGACCGCCCCGGCCGGGGGGCGTCGCTGAGGGGCTGGGAGAAGGAGTCCCGGGAAGTAGGAGCTAGGGGGTTGGGTCCCCCCAGGCGGGCCGGCCCGCGTCGCCCCTCGGGCTAGCTCCGCGCAGGGCGGGCGCCGGGGCTCGCTCACTCACCGGGTCCGGGGCCGAGGCCGGGGCTGGGCGCGGGCCGGGCCGCCAGCGTGAGCGCGGCGGCGGAGAGCAGGGCGAGGCGGGCGGCGGGCGGCGCCATGGGCCGTCAGTGCGGGGCCCCGGGGCGCGGCCCGGGGGAGAGGGGGCAGCGCGGGGAGCCGGGGGCGGCCATGGGAGCGGGACGCGGGGCTCGGGCGTGGCCCCGCCCCGGCCGCCCGGCCGCCCCGCCCCGGCCCGCCCTCCCCAGCGCCGCCACCGCCCCGGCAGTGCGGGGCCCGCCCGGCTCAGCCGCGAGACCCGAGGGGCGGAGCCGATTGCGCACGCCCTCCCCTCCCGGTGCGCGCGCCGCGCCTGCCACTCACGCTTCAGGCTCCGCCCACACGCCCTTCCACACCTGGGCCCGCCCCCACGGGGCACGTTATTGGTCCGACCGAGGGGCGGGACCAGCAGGTGAGGGGCGGGGTCCGGGGCTCCGCCTCCGAGTGCCCACGCGGAGCTTTGGCTAGGTTGGAGCAGGCCGGGCGCCCGGTGACCCTTGCTCCACCCTCACTCAGGTCGTGACCCACAGCGCGGGCTCAACCGCAGCGGTAATAATCAGAACAGCAGTTTGCAAACCGCTTTTCCCTGCTTGGTTCAACGTAGTAGTTTAAAAAAGGGCGCTCTGGAATCACTCTGTCCGGGGTTCACATTCCACGCGGTCACCTGTAAGACCTTGAGCAGGATTAAGAAAAAATAGCTCTCTTACCTCAGTTTCTTCATCTGTTAAATGGGGGCGTTGACAGCATACTCCCAAAGCAGTTGTACTAAATGAGGCAATGCATGGAAACTTTTACACGCACACAGTAGGAGCTTAGTAAATGTTGAGTTCCTTCCACCATCCCAGTTCTTGCAGCCACAAAGGAGGCAGCATACTGAACCCTGGTTCCGAATCCTATCGTACATCCTGTATCAACTGGGGCAAGTTTCCTGCTCTGTCTGAGCTTCAGTCATCTGCGAAATGGGAATAATACAAGGCCGTCACAAGATTAGATGAGGTAGAAGAAAGTAAAGCTCCCAGCAAAGAGTCCGGAAGTGGACGGGGCAATGAAGCTTTCTTACAGACTGGGGTACTGAGGCCCAGAGAGCGTGTGACTGCAACTCTCGGGCCCTCGCCCCCAAGGTCTTCCCGGGCTGCACTCTGGGTCTGTCCCGGGCCTCCCTCCTCCCCCGCACTCCCCCAGGCAGAGGAGGTTTTCCTTCTGCTCCCGCCTAAAGCACCGCGGCGACGCCCCTCGGGGGCAGGTCTGGGCGGCGCGCCCGCCGCTTTCAAGTCCCTGGTCCCGGGCTTGCAAGTGCGGGCCTGTGCCCTGCGCGGCGGCGGGAGCTTCTGCCCTCCTGTGCAGACTCGCCGCACCCAGAGCGCGGCTGGGGCGGCCCCCGCCCCGCGGGCTCCGGGGCCAGCCTTAGGTCCGCGGGCCCCTGCGCCCCCTCGCCCACTCCCAGGGTCTGCTTCCCCACAACACGCTCCGCAGCTGTTTCCAGGACCGGGCCGGAAGGTGCAGCTACCTCCCACGAGGCATCTCAATCTTGGCGCCTCTCCACCCACACGACCCAGAGCCACGGCAAGAAGAATCTTGTTCACTCATTGTTTTCAAAACCTGTCTCTTTCCTGAGCTCAGGGATCCTCTTGGGCTCCTTATTGGCTCAAGGGGACACCCCTCACCCAGTGCCCAACTCCCCCCGCCCCCATCCGCCACATCTCACCTGGTGTCTCCAACTCACCCTCTCCTTCCCACCATCTTGGACCCTTTCCACCTCCAAAACCACCTTCCCCCAGCAGGACCTGAGAACTCTTCACCTGTAACATGCGTCCCTGAAGGTGCAGGCAGAAGGAGCACCTTGAAGGAGAATGAAATGAGAACAGGTGAGAAAACATCAGCCCAAAGCAGACACTCAATAAAGGCGAACCTTCCTTCATTCAACAGATACTCAGTGAGGAACGGACCCAGAGCACCAACAAGACAAGCTGGTCCCTTCCTCCTAGAAATAATGTGAATTTCAGAGAGCAAAAAGTTCTACAGAGACAAGAAAATGATGTTGAGGGAGAATGGTCTGCGAATTGTTTTAAAGAGAGTGCAGGGAAACAGTAGCAAAGCAGGTCGTAGCTCTCTACAGTTTACAAGGTTCTTTGGCATCTCATCCTGGCTTCTGAGGAGGAACTAGGAAGGTGCAGACAAGAGGTTCAAAATAGGGTTTACGTGGCCAAGTGTGGGGATTTATGCCTCCTGATCGTAGCTTCAGCCTGTCCTGCCCCGCTGCAGGAAAACACTCCTGCTGAGCGGGTACCAGCCCCTCCCTTCGGTTGGTTCTCTTGGCCTTGGGTCCAACCAGAATGCGCTATGTAATTTGCAGGGCCTGGTGAGAAATGAAACTGGGGGCCCCTTGTTCAAAATGATTAAGAATTTTAAGGTGGCTATGACGGAGTGTTAAACCAAGTATGGGGCCCTTCTGACTTGGGGGACGTGACACAGGTTGCCCACCCCATGAAGCTGGCTTGTACAACAGAACTCGTGTGCAAGCCCCTCTCCCACTGGCTGCTATAAGAAACATCCCTCTAGCCTTCCCTAGGTCTCCCTCCCCTCTCTGCTAGCTTAAAGCCCAGCACAGGTGATGGAAACAGTGCACAGAGGCCAAAAATATAGCCTAGTGGGTCTAGGTCAGGGCACTTAACAGCTCAAGGTCTTTTGCTCAGTTACATGGTCCCGGCCCCTGGCAAGAAGAAGCCTAAGATATTCATTTCAATGCTTCACATGCCTCAGTCGCTTAGCGGATTTATTTCATGGAGAGAGTGAAGACATTGACTGCAGCCCCTGGGCCTCCAGGAAAATGTTGGTGTCTGTCTGTTTGCCTACTTATGCTCTGCAGTCAAGCCCTTCAATTCCTCTGAGGGCAGCAGGATTTGCCAAGAAGCTGGGAGAGCTCAGCTGGTGGAGTTTAGGGGATCCTGGTATCTTTGAAACTCCAGTTGGAATAATTTCTGCTCAAAAGGCACCATGTTGTGGAGAGAGCCCTTGGGTAAGGAGCCCGATTCTAATAACAACGAGAGCAAACATTTACTGAGGATGTTGCTAAACTCTAGGCAGGGTATGGTGCTTGCCATCACACTTCACACAACGCTTCCAGTAGCCCTATGAGAGAGGCACCCTCACCACCTCCCTCATAAGGAGAGGTTGAATGGCTTGCCCAAAGGTCACATAGTGGTGGAGCTGGGCTTTGAACCCAGGCAGCGGGACTCCAGGACTAGATTCCTACATTGGTGAATTGCCTACTTGTCCTTCCGGGGTTCTGGCAACAAATACTTACCGAATGGTCCAGGGGCACGATTAGGGTAAGGCAAGTGAGGCATTCACGTCAGGCACACAACCTTAAGGGGGCCCAAAAAACTCAGTAATCAAGATAAATAAATAAATATTATTTAATAAGTTGTAAAAATATACTAAATATATTTCATAAGTATTATTTCAATGCAATATCTTTAGGAAGATAAATTAATGCCCTCCCGAAATTCATACTACACGAAATATCAAAATTTTAAATAAAAACAGAATCTTTAGCCTCCGGCTCGGCTCAGCACTGTACTGTTACGGATCCTGTCTCAGATTTCTGAGTCAGAAAGCTAGTGATGGGAAACTCAAGAGAAGTAGTGGTTTTGCTTGTTCTGATGGGGATAAGGGAAACGAAGGAATTTGGTTTTGAACGTAATGAATTAGAGGCATCCAGGTGGCCCCATCAGAGAACTGAGTCCGGTGGGAAGGGGTGCCAGGGTGAGCAGGGCACCCTTATTTCGTATACTTGGCCCATGATAGGTGCGCGTTCAGCACATGTGGTTTAAATCACTGGTCCTCTGAGTTTGCATCATGGTTCAGGAATCTTCTCAAATTCTCTCATCCAAAGTTTTTCTCTTCTTTCCTAAACCTTCTACATCACAAACCTCAGATATGTTCCCATATGGGTGTGGAAGTTTACTGCTTGGGTGTTAAAATAAAAACATCTTCCGAGGAAATTAAAAACAATTAAATTCCACTAGAATCTGGGGATGGGGCGTGAAGGGGGAAGACGAGAATAATTATGAATTGGCTCAATTTCCTCGTTATCAACGGAACTTCCAGAAGGAGAATGGGAGCAAATAGGAATCAAAGAGAGGAAGGTGGTCGTCAAGGAAAGAAAGAAAGAAGAAAGATTATAGGAGCTAAAAATATGGTGAGGAGAGCTTGGCCAGGCATCAAAGAAGGGCAGATGTGTTTCCAAATAGAAGTGGTGGTTTAGGTATGTCAGGAAGTACAGCTCCAAATGATCGGCGGAAAATAAAGGCTATTTAGACTGAGCTCAGCAGAATAAAAAGGTTCATTGGAGAATCAAACTGAGGAACAGGGCTTTCAACTACACCGAAGCCCTGCTGCCTCATCCCCAGGTTCTCTGGACCAAGTGTTGGCGCCAACGGTGGAAAATCTTGCCATAGTCTCAGGACCCTGGACCAAATAGAGTCTTTCCATCTTGACTTTATAATTCTGAACAATCTCTGTTAAAGACCAGTCACTCTCCTTAGTATATCCTCAGGTACCCTCTTTCCTTGCCATCTCAGGAAGCACGAGATATTCCGGGCAACTCCCACAGCCAGCGGGAAATGTAGCTCCTGTAAATAGAGCACTTCTGTGAGGCTGAAGTATCTGACAAATGTTTAGTGAAGGTGGATCCTGGGAAGAGAAATGTCATGCTACCCAAGTCAGATCAGAATCATTCCCCACTTCAAGAGGCTCATTGCTTGGCCTCATAAAGGACCCGAGATGAGGTTCATATCAAATGTTGAGTTATGGCACTCCTACCACGGGCAACAGGGGCTCAAGAAAGCGTCAGCTAAGCAAATGGGCCACAGTAATAATATTAATAAGAACATTATTTATTGAGGCTTCCTATGTGCCAGGAGCCATACCGAGTGCCTCCCATGCTTTGTCCCATTTCATCCTCACAGTTATTCCTGGGGTAGGCACTGTTACTATCCCCATTTCACAGATGAGGAGAGTAAGGTTCAGAGATGTGAATTGACTTGCCTATCGAGAGATGGATCTGGGATGTCAACTCGGGCAGACCACCTCGTGACAGAGAAGATCTCATGTCAAGGATAGGACTAGAACTGGGCCCAGGGGTGGTATGTGGATGGGCTGACCAGATGAGAGGCAAAGCACCACAGTGATAGCTCTGAGTGGTGAAGAGCGAGGGTGGTGTAGACCTTCGTTGAGACCAGCCTTTGTTGGTTCCTAGGCTTTGGGATCTGGGGCACGGTTCTCGAGCAGCTTGTGCCTCAGTTTCTTCATCTGTAAACTAGGGCTGGTGACAGTGCCCGAACTCATAAGACTGTTGGTGGCATTTCATGAGATGATGCTTGGGAAGTGCCTGTAATAGTGCCTGGCTTATGGCAAGCATTTGATAAATTCAGATTTTACTGATGTAGGAGGAATAATAGCACAGGCCATGTCACCCTGAGTTAGTTCCAAGGAGCATGGGGGTTACCTACTGGGAATGAGTTACACTGCAGGTGGGGGAGGCAGATTTTGATTGAAGTTAAGAGTGTGAACAGCTCTGTGCCGGAAGAGGGAGATTCAGCACGTTCCTCAGAGTCTGAGTGGTGTCACCTGGCCGGGCACTGAGTAAAGGCCTAGGAAAGTAAATATAGATGAGTTTCTGGAAAGAGGAGGTGTGGGAAGGCCAGCCTCGAGATGGGGAAGGGGAGAAGAGAAACAGAAGAGCTACTCCCAGAATTCCTTTCTTGCCCGGGAGTTCCCTTCTGTCCCTGCCCACACAGGGCAAAGGCAGACAGTGGCCCAAGAGCCTGGTGCCACCCCTCTGGGATTCACCAGCTTTGAAAGGATGCTTGCCTGCCCAATCTCCAGACATGTACAAAGCCTTCCGAGAGACAAACCCTTTTCCAGCACCCTGCCCTGCTCTAAAACTGACCCACCTCGCGGGAGGTAAGGCCAGGGCTCCCCACTGAATGGGCCCCATTGTCCTCCCAAGCGTCTGTGGGTCCAGATGCCTTTGGCCTGGGGGTGGTTCCACCGCGGCCTGCAGTGCGGTCTGCCTGCAGACTTTGATTCACTCCTGGGACAACACTCAGAAAAATCAAACAGGCAACACATACGATTCCAGGAGCTCCTGCCAGCCTCATACTCTGTTTTTCCATCACTTCCCTCTCCTCCCCCTCTGGAGGGAGCCTCCTTTGGCATTTTGTGTATGAAAACTCAAAACCACCAACAGGACAAGCACCTGATAAGGAGCAAGGCATTGCCCAAGAGTTACCAGGAAGAAGCGTCTTTGTTCCTGTTTCAAGCCCTTGACACTGCTAACAGCTCTAATTACTGAATTTGCCATGGGATGTAAAATAAAACCGCATTCCAGAAACCATGTAGTCTCCCGGGGAGAGACATGTAGGGAGAGGTGCCCAGGGCGGCAGGAACGTGTTCTTTCATTTCTGGTCCCTAACCTTGGCAGCTATTCTGAGAATGTAACAGTACCTTCTTTATGTGCACGGAGAAGGCCACTTTTGCACATGTAAGGATCTATCTCACTACCTGCATCCACAAATACAGTCTGCATCTTTGACTCCCGTTGCGTGCAAAGCAATGCTTCTTAAGAACGTGAGGACCTTCCTAATTGACCCAAGCCCTTCTGGAGGGAAATGAGCACTTCACCAGCTCCTGAGGCTGCAAGCACAACAAAATAGAACTTCTTCCAGCCTAATTTAACTATAAAATCTGATGATGTAACACCCACCCACCCCCACATCACAAACCAAAGTGACATCACAAATACTAGAGATCATGGTTCAAAACTGCCTGCGTCTGAGCCAAAAATCTAAACAAACTGCAATTTGCTCATACATGACTGAGGCAGAGAAAGACAGGTGACTAGAAATATTAAAACAAACCAAAGCAAAACAACAGCAACAACCAAAAAAAGCAAGAGAAAAAGGGAAAAGAAAATACATATTTCTTCCCCCTACTAAGCTAGCTAAAATAAAATTTAAGGCAACTGAAATAATGGTAAGGTGATTTTATTTTTTTTATAGATGACATTTCTTAGAAGGCCAGGTCTCTTTAAGTGTGTGATTCTGATTCTATCCAAATTGTTCTCTTGTTCTCGGCTGGTCCCAGGAAACGGAGGTCTGCATCACTTACGTTGAGCTTTTGCCTTTATGGGCCCCAGTATTTCCCTGTTGAGCAGCCTTTCTTGGCTCATGGTGGTCTGGTTAGAAAGTGTGTTCAGGGTTTGGCAGAACTTTACGTGGTGTCATTTCTGTCTTGCAGCCTGGTCGAGGGGTGACTACAGCTCCTATAGGAATCGCAAGTGATCCCATCCCCATTCCTTTCCTGCCACGGGTCCCTAAGCCTTGCAGCAGACAGGAATTGTCTTTGATTCCTTATAAATGCTCCCCAAACCTCTGCTTCCAGCCCAAGCATTGCTATGTTCTTTGAGAGCCTGAATATCATTGTGACCTTGTTTCCTTACTTGGTACAAGATGCTCTGGTGAGCAGGAGAGCAGATGGATAGATTTCTGAGAGCTGCATAGAAGGAATGATGTGTAAAACGATGTTTGTATTAGGCCTTCTAGTCTCTGCTTGAGAACTGGTCTTTTTTTTTTTTTTTTATTCCTTTTTCTCCCCTTGTAATTCTAGCATCCCATCTATGTGAGACGAGACCCCAGCATCCCCACCTATGGGCTCCGTCAGTCTATCTTGCTGAACACCAGGCTTCAGGACTGCTATGTGGACTCACCGACCCTCACCAACATCTGGACGGCCAGAATGTGTGCAAAGCAGAACATCAATACCCCAGCACCCAGGACCTCTTCTTGGGAAGTTGTAAAGAATCCCTTAGTCGCCAGTTCGTTCTCCCTGATTAAGCTGGTGCTCAGGCGACAACTGAAGGATAAATGTTGCCCAGGACCAAGCAGGTTTGGAGAAGCAAAGCCCTCAAAGAGATTAAAGTCCAAGGACAATGTGGCAATAAGAGCCACGCCGCGGGGCAGGATAAGAAACTCCATCGGTTCCAAGGGCAGACAGCCAATGGGGCAGTGCCCCGGCTCACCGAGGCTCAGGAAGCCAGCAGGAGGCATCAAGGTACGTGATGGGATGGCTGGGGGTGGAGAAAACCTGATGGGAGTGGGGACAGGGCAATGTAAGCGCGGGAACACTTAATGCTTAAGTGATTTATACAGGGGGAAGGAAATCCTAAAGTTAAAGACAGGATGGTGGAGGTGGGGCTGGGGGCAGCGGCATGATGTAATGGAGAGAGTACCCGATCTGGGCTCATGCCATTTACACTCTGCCTAGTTCTACAGGAGGATGGAATGGCTTTCATAAACACTTGACGTGAAGGGAAAATAAGGGTGCGAAAGGTCCGGAGATGGGTGGTGCCCTTAGGCACACACACCCAAACACCGGAGGTGAGCCTTAGATCTTGCCATGAACTTCCACCTGGGGAACCTACATCCAGAGAGGTCCATCACTCCACGGGGCTGGCAGAGCTCAGAGTGCCCCCTGGAGCTAGGCTGTCCTGCTCCAAATCCCAGCTCTCACTATAATTGAGGACAGCTGTGGGCTTAGCCTCTTTGGTCTCTGTCATCTACAAAATGGGGAAAACGGTCTCTCCCCCATAGGGTTTCATGAGGGTTGAGTTAATACAATGCACAGGGTTTTTGAACAGAACCTGGCACAGAGTAAATGCCTAAGATCCTTTGTGGCATTCAGTAGAGGACACTGTGGTTAAGAACCTTCTCACCGTGCCGACTTGGGCCAAACAAATCCAGTTCCCTTGCCTTTAAAACGGTCTCCTGCTGACCTTACAGGGTTATGGGGAATGCACGCAGTGGCATACATGAAGGAATTCAGGAAACCAGAACACGCTAGACAAATGGTGGTGGTTGCTGGAACCAAGACACTGGGACACAAATCCCAGATAATTATTCGGAGCTCCCTTCTCAAGTTTTAGCTTTGACTTCTCTGCTTTCTTCCTGGCTAGAGTAAAGAAAGTTCAAAGGAGAAAAAAGTAACCGTCCGCCAAGATCTTGAGAGCAGATATGCTGAACATGTGGCTGCCACCCAAGCACAACCCGGGGACACTGGGACAACGGCCTGGAATGGCCAAGCGTTGCTTCCCGAAACCAGAAAGAGACAGCACTTGTCAGACAAGTTAACCATCCACGGCCTCCCCGCAGAGGGTTACAGGGCTCTGTACCACTCGGTGGTCGAGCCGATGCTGTGGAATCCTTCTGGGACCCCCAAGAGGTACAGCTTGGAGCTGGGCAAGGCCATCAAACAAAAGCTCTGGGAGGCTCTGTATAGCCAGGCTGCCAACTCCTCAAGGGGCTCAGGACCCACTGCCTGGCCGGAAGCAGCTGGGGGTCCACGAGGAGCCTGTGCCCAAGAAATGGCCCAAATTAAAGAGTGAGAAATAGGAACGGGAGCTCACGGGGTTAACGGATATTCTCTGCTAGATGTCTGAAAAATAAACACCACTTTGCACCTTCCGCATAATCTGAGTGCTTTACAAATTAGTAACTGCCTCCCTGGGAAATAAGACAAATGGGTACGAGATTCATTTCATACTGGTGGCCCTTCTCCACTCTCATGATTAGGTCATGTCGAGGGCTAAATGCTTGGGGGTCTTTTCCCTACAAGCCCCTTTCCTTAATAGGGGTTTGAGGGTCTCTCGGTCTTCCAAGGTAGGAAAAAGCCAGGCAGACGAAGTCAATGGCCCATATTCCTTATTTTTTAAAAGCGGACTATTGTTTCCCTCACAGCCTCCAAACAGGGCTGAGCAGAAAAGCCACTACCGCCTCAAGGACATAATCCCACACGTTCTCTACCAGACGCTCTCTCATGACACCACCCCAGGCCCCAACAACACGACCTCTACTTTACCAGGGGAGGAAATCCTACAGACGCTTACATGAACAAGGCAGAAGAGTTAAAGGCACTGCGTCGTGCAAACCTCTCCTTGGTGGGATCTGTAGACCTTTACCAAACAGAGCAATGACAACATGTAACACATACTTGATAAAATTGTATTTTTTTTTTACAGTCATTTGTACAATTTGTTACAAAACCATAGAAGACTACAACTTGTTTGAAATCATTTTTGGTCGGCAAATATGTAAAATCTGTGTGCAATTATCATGTATTTACAGGGCCTCATGTTAGTCATTTTCAATGATTATTCCAACAATGTCACACTCTCAACATAAGACATGGCTTAAGATAAATATATTAGTAAATAAATATTCTGAGAACATATTTCCATAAATGAAATGTGCTGCTATACATATACAGAATATACATAAGTTGTTTTCTAGCCTTTAAAACATTTAAAAAATGGTAATGTTGGAGAAGGAGCCCTTAGACCATTTTATTACAAAATCTTTACAGCAAAGTCTTTACAAAATATCTTTTAAGTGCTATGGGAGAAATAAAAAAAAACATTTCAAAATAGTGTCTTGTTAGACCAACACAATAGTTTATATAAAGAATAGAAAAAGGCAGGTCTGTTTAAAAAATAATACTCTGATTAGTAATTATTTTTTAGACCTCATTTTAAAAGCATTAGTCCTGCATGAGCTTTGAGTAGAAACTAGCAGCACATAAGGGGGGGGTCTGAGTGGTGGGACAGCAGATCGGGCTTTATAAAATGGCTTGGGTTTCAAGAGAGGCGGGAGAGATTGAGAGTCAGAGCCAGCATAAAGAGGTACCTTGTTGATCAGAACTCCCAAACCCCCATTTTTTAACTGGTTCCAGTACTCTTCAGTTTACATGGCTATCCCATACCCAGGGCTGGGCCATGGGACCAGGCCTAACAGTCACACTCCGGCTTGGGGTGTGGGGTAGGGTGGTGATTCTCAATGGAAAATGTGATGCTCCCAGTTTCCAAGGCTGTAAGACCCCAACAGACCACTGAGAGGCCCCTGACAAAGGTACTGGTCCTCATTACCGGAGTCCTACAGCTTCAAAGAAGACATTTCTTTTGATTTGAACGGCGAGGCAAGAATATAGCTGGTTACTATATTCTGGTGACCTCCCTGTCTGGTGGGCCAACAGAGATTTAAGACAATGGCTGATATTTAAAGTTTTAACATTTTCATTTTTCTGCTTCTACTGCCCTGTAAACTACAAAAATCTGTTTCTTTTGCCATCTGTAATTATTGCTCTTTCAAATGAAAATTGGACACATTTATTTTAATAAGCCCCGTGGAAGCCACATTATCTACTCATCTATTTATTGCTTAAGGCTGTTGAGGAGTAGTTTCCCAGACCAGGCTAAAGAAAGCCACTTTGGGGGTATGGTTTCAGACAAAGGAGAAAGAATACGCACTCAAAGGCATTAAAAACAAAGCAAAACAAAAAAAAACACAAAACCACAAACAACAACAAAAATCTCAACGAGAAGCTGCTTTTTTTGCAGTTTATGTTAGAAGCCATCCCAACCCCCCTTCCCTAAAACCACGTAATGCAAGCTGTTGTCCTCAGCAGCTGCTACTCCTGGCCCGAGAAATAAAGGCGGCCCGGATCACATGTCGACAGCTTGGACGCTTCTCACACCCTCGCCAACAGGTGTGCTCTGCATAGACCCGGGGGGAGCAGCCCTCAAGGGACTGTACCTCAGAGGCTGGAGGACAAATCTCACCGCACTGAGTTCCTAAATGGCAAATGGCTCGATCATTTGATGCTGGAATTTGTCAAAGCCTGGCTAGAAGTAGGTAAATTTCCTCATCACAGGCTGGGTTGAAAAAAAAAAAGCAAAAAGGATTGGGATACAGTGAGATTCTCAGTCAAAAATATTCTGGTGTGGACCCTGGCCTGACTGGAGAGGGGTCATCACTGTCTTTGATGGCAACCCTGGGCGGTCTCTATTTCCCCACTATACGGGGGTGGGGGCAAGGTGGTGAGGTTCCTGTTCTGCAAATGAGCAGTTCAGATGACAATAAATGAATAAGATGAGTAAAAGTGACCAGAAGAGTTAGTGAACACAAGGGCTAATGGGTTTATTTTCTTTAAAAAAAAAAAAAAACCCAAAAAACAAAACACAAAACTTTCTTAAGAACAAGAAGTACGCTCGACAAAAAGGATGACAATCCCTGATCTGAAATAGCTGTAAATAGATTCTCCCTTTTACAATGGAAACATCTTTTTAAAAAAAAAAATGGTTTGGGTTTTAAAACTCTCCCTCCCTCTTGGAAACAAGAACAGCAAAAGGCTGGAAAAATATACAAAAACCTACCCTTTGGGGAGAAACTGTCTGATAGTCTCATGGAGAATCAATACATAATAGTGCACTAGGTAGAAAGGACAGTAGACATTTGCAGGCGAGATGAGCAACTTCAGCCATGAGGCAGAGGGCTGAATAACCCTGAAGCGGTGCTTCCAGAGGGAAATGGGATGGGAAATGTATCATTCAAACGGAGCTCGGTGCTGACCCTGTGGGGTCCCCAGGAAGGCAGCCCAAGGACACTGGCTGTGCCCACACGGACCCACGGGCGCAGGTGCACTCTAGCGCCCTCTGTCCCTTCTCTGGGTTACTGAGAGCACTTTCCACCCCCCAGACACTAAGGCCGCAAAACTACATTCCTCCTGGGTGTCTGTCCCCACACACCCCTTCAAACCATTTCTGCAGCCAGTGGTAGGAAGCCCGACTTCAGGATCGTGAACTCTGTCCTTTTACCCAAGACGATGACCTGAAGGGACAGACTGAGGAACACTGGGCTGAATCGTCCCTGTCACCCTGGGGCTTGCGTAGCGATGGCTTGTCCCAGCTCCTCAGAGCGGCAGACCTTCCGCCCTATCCCTAGCTGTTCCCGTCAGCTGCCTACAGGTGTGGGCTGGAGAGGCACGGCTTCTGAGAAGACCCGAAACTTTGTACGTTGGGATTTGCCACAAGAAAGAAAGAGGCAGCATTGCATTGTTCCTCAGAGTTTGTACCCATATCAACTAGCTTTACTTCAAGTTTCTGGTTCATTTTCTAAGGCAGGTGTAGCCCTGAGCTTTTCAAAGGCCTGAGCTCCCTCCAGGGAGACAACAGTATCTACACATGATGTGGTTCAATTAATGCAGCAGTGATTTCTTTTTTTTTTTTTTCAGCAAAAGTTGGCAGTTAGGGTTCTTTAAAATATATATTTAAATAACTTTTTACATTTACATATAATATCTTAAAAAACAAAGCACAGAACTCAATCCCACACACCTCAGAACCCCAAGCACACACACTTTACAAAACAGAATATACCATGTTATCAAAAGAGGCAAAAGACTCAGAGAATTTTGTCTGTTGGTTTGTTAATGGAGGGGTCGGGGCAGTTTGCCACAGGTGGCTCACATTTTGGGTTGAGAAGGAGGGCTCTCTTTATTACCACTTTTGTGTGTTTGTCAAAGCTAAAAAAAATTTTTTTTTTCTTTTTTTTCTGAAGGAAGTCAGATCAGAGCTTGGAGTCTCCATACAGTCCCCATTTCCACGTAAGATTTCTTCTGAGCTCAGGCTCCCGTGCCGCCATCTGCTGGGGGAGATCTCTGTCCTAGAGAGAGAGACAAACCATCAAGGGGACAGAACTGGCACAACACACAGGGCCCAGGCAGGGGACTTGAGTGCCCATCCCCGGTGTCACAGGCTCTCAGGGAGTGACAGCTCCCAACACCAGACGGACCATGTATAGGGCACAGGGCTGAAGCAAAGCTCCTTTGCTGAGAGATCCTCATGCTGTGCTGGGGGCACGGGTGCTTCCCAGCCAGCCAGCCTGCCTCCCTCATCTGGAGATGCAGAGGCTTCTGGAAGCCCTGAGGTAGCAGGAAAACACAACATCCCGAAGATGAGCATTAGGTACTGCTGCAGGCACTGGGAAGAACAGAGGAGAAGACCCCTTCCCAGAGCCCACAGACCTCAGAACAAAGTAGCCTCAGATTGCCATAGCCTGGGAAGTGAAGAGAAGCTGTGATAGTGACCTTGGGCAGGGCTGGAGGGCGGGATTTCAGCGGAGAGCTGGAGAAGCTGCAGAGAAGTCTGGAAGCTGGGATGAACTTGGCTTGTTGGGGGTCCAGGACAGAGGCCACAGAAGGCTCAAGTGGCAAGGAGGTGAGTGAAGCAGGAGGTGGTCCGAGGGGAAGGCAGGGGGCAGATCATACAGAATGGGGTGAGGAGTTTATATTTTTAAAATTTAGAGGTAGTGGCAAGTCACTGAAGGGTTTTCCAGTGTAAAGACATATTTCAGATGGTTAAGCGTCTGCCTTTGGCTCAGGTCATGATCCCAGGGTCCTGGGATCGAGTCCCGCATCAGGCTCCCTGCTCCTTGGGAGCCTGCTCCTCCCTCTGCCTCTCTCTCTCTCTCTCTCTGTCTTTCATGAATAAATAAATAAAAATCTTAAAAAAAAAAACAACATATTTCAAAAAAGACCCTCGTGGCTCCCATGCAGAAGAGAAGGCTAAGAGCAGTGAGAGACCAGTCAGGCCACTGCCTTGGCCGAGGAGAGAGGAAATGGGCCTGCCTGAGGAGACAGCAAGTGGGGATGCAGGAGAGAGAAATTAGGGATATACTTTGGAAGTGGAATGTGTCAAAGGTGCCGGACTATTTATTATTGACACAAAATGTTTGGAAACTTTATAGCAACTTGATGAGGTCTGCTGAATGGAATGAAAATTCTAGACTTGGATTCTGCACGTCCTTTGCTAAATTTCATTTTTCTAGGGATTCGATTTTCTGGACGAGGGGCAAAAAACAAGCCCACGTGGTCCTCACAGGCAGGTTGAGAAGCCCAGGACACTGGAGTATGGAGGGCGGGGCGGGTTCCGGGAGAGTGCCGGGTCTGAGCCCAGCCTCTGGGTGGGGGGGGGAGCCTGGAGGAAGCGGGGCGGGGCGGGGCGGGGGCACCCGCACAGAAGGAGGAATCTGAGAGCTCTGCAGTGGAACGCAGAGCAGGGCTGGGGTGGGGACTAACGCTTTGGAAGTCATCAGGTGCAGATGGCAGTTAAAGTCAGGGGCACAGAGGAAGTCACTGAGAAAACCACCTTCAGAAAGAGAAGGACCCCGACTCTGGCCTACTGTGCTCTCCGGTTCTCACCTGCAGCCTCAGTGGCGGGGGCGCTGGACTCCTGAGTGTCCTGGGGGGCACCGGGAAAGCTGGCCCCGGCAGCCTCTACACCCTCCGGAGGGCAGCCGGGTGGAAGCGGAGCCCTGGCCTGGCAGCAAAGAACAGGTTCTTCTTCCTGGCTCGCTCCTAGGCCTCGGTGGGGCCGCAGGGCATCCGGGCCCAGTGTCCCACCCCAGGGCCCGAGGCCATGGGTCCCTTGGCAGTCCGAGGGCAGGCCCAAGTCACAGTCCACATCCTCCGGAATGATGGGGATGCGCCGGCTCAGGTCCCGGGCCCCCGGGGGGCAGCCGGGCGGGGGCTCCTGGGTGAGCGTGTACTGCACGCTCACCGAGCAGTCCTCGGCGTAGCAGCCACTGCCCCCTCCGCTGGCGCGGGCCACCTGCTTCTCTTCATAGAAGCAGCAGGGCAGGCCCTCACACTTCACCCCTTCTGTCCTGGGCAAACGGTCTGGGTGAAGGCCGTGCAGGCCCTGGGCACTCCCCGGCTGCGCCTCCCCACCCGTGGGGCCCAGGAACGACGTGCTGCCCCCCGCCACTGCGACGCTGGGCTCCAGTGTGGAGGGCTGGGGCTCGCAGCAGCAGGCACAGGACAGCCCCTCGCGGGCCCCCTTCCAGGTCCTCCTGAGGTCTGGGGCAGCCCCGGGAGAAGCCTCGAGCCCCACTTCTGAGGTAGAGCTAGCGGGCCCCCTGTGCTCCAGGGAGGAGCTGCTGCTGTAGTTCATGTCCAGGCTGCAGGTGGACAGCTGGTCCCCCGAGGGCGAGGCAGGCCCGAGCCAAGGCTCTCCCCGCCCAGCACCTTGACTGTGGGCCGCCAGGAGCTCCTCGGGCGGCCCCCGAGCCGAGCCGCCCGCGCCCCCCACCTCGCTGGCGCGACAGGGGCTCCGGCTGCGGTAGATGAAGGGGTCGTAGTCGCTGCTGAGGGAGCTGCGGAAGGTGGAGCAGCTCCCGTACACGCCCTGGTTGCTGACCTCGGTGCAGTCCAGCACGGAGTCGCTGGAGGAGCAGTGGCACTGGCCGGAGCTGCTGCTGCTGTCGCTGCCTGGGCAGTCGGCCAGGTAGCCGCTGCACGCCGAGCGGTGGCCGTGGTAGCAGCTGAAGCTCGATGTGCTGCCGCTCTCCAGGCGGGACGGTGACGCCACGTGCACCACGGTGGGGAAGAGCAGGCCGCCGCCGCCGCCACTGCCGCCGCCACTGCCGCCGCCGCTGCCGCCGCCGGCGCCACTCAGAGGAAAGGCACGGGCCGGACCCCTGGGAGCGAGGCTGGCCGGGGCCTGGCCCTCCGGCTCGGGGTAGCTGAGGCCCCGGAAGTAGTAGTGCTGGTACATGGTCTCGTACTGGGAGAAGCAAGCTGCCTTGGAGAAGCTGCGGCCGCTGAACTTGGGCCTGCGGAAGGGGTGGGCTGGGGAGTAGGCCCGGTGCTCCAGGCCGCAGCGGTGAGGGGCCAGGGCGGGGTCCAGGTGGAGGGGCGGGTAGCCGCGGATGTAGCTGGGGGTCTGCGGCGAATAGAGGCCCTGCTCCGCGTGCCGGTCCACGGTCAGCAGAGTGACGGGGTTGCCGTGGGAGTCCATGCTCGTGCGGGTAGGGTAGGCGGGGATGGCGTTGGTCCTGTGCACGCGGCCGGGGTAGTGCACCGGCAAGATCACCCTCTGCTGCCGGCTGCGCGCGAGGTTGCTGCTCTCCACGCACACGGCGCTCGGGTTTCCCTTTTGCTCTGGGGAGAGGCGGGGGGACAAAGTCAGCGGGGCTGAGGCCGAAGGGGTGAACGAGGGCAGAGAGCGAAGCAGCGGGCTCGGCCACGCGCCCACGTGCCGCGTCTCAGGACTTGGGCCCCGGCTAGGCCGTCACCAGACCTGGCCACGGCGGCAGAGGCTGAGCCACCCCTCCGGCTGCGGGGCGGCCACACCTGTAAGGGCCCACCTCCCGCCTCCCCTGGGCTCGGCCTCACAAAGACGCCAAGGGAGTTTGCAGACAGCAGCAAAGAGACCAAGATGAAAGGCACTTTCCCTCCCGGAGAAACAGCTATCTGGAGTCCGGCCTGCATCCCGGCCCCTCATCTGGTACGACCGGGACGCAGGAGCAGCACCACAACCCCGCCACCTCGCGCTCGTCTCTTGGGGCGCCGGAACGACCCCACGGTACTGGGCACGGAGCATCATCACTGTCGTTCCTGCCGAAGCGAGTATGGGCCTCAGGCCTGCAGAGGCCGGCCGCCTTGCTCAAGGTCAGGAAGCTGGCTCTTGGGAAAGCCAGAATGTGAACTCAGGCCAGGCTCTCCTGAGGGTTTGGAGGCTGCCTCCCCACACCTCCAGGTCCGGAGGGCAGTGCTCGCTCACCAGTCTGCAGCATGTGCCACACACCTGCTAGGCACTCGGTAGGGACAGCGACTCTGCCGCAACAACGGAGGCAGGTGACAATTACCTATGATGTTGTGCCGACAGTGAGGGCAGGTGTGGTGCTGCAGCAGCCAGGGGTCCACACACTTCCTGTGAAAGCGGTGAGTACAGGGGATAACCCGCAGCTCCTGGGAAGGGAGAGAGGACACACAGCCTGAAGGCAGGGCCCAGGCGGTCAGGAGTCCTGCCTTCAGCCCCGCACGCGCTTCTTCCTGAGGAGTCCAGCATGGCCCGAGAAACCCTGTGCATCATGCCAATACCAGCGGCTTCCTCCTCACCCACCTCCCGGTCTCTAGCTACAGGTGGACACGATTCCCTGAGTCAGCACCCACGTCTGGCTTCCAGGGAGAAGCCCCAACCACAGTCCTCGGCGTTCAGGAAGGAAGCACACAGAAGCCGGCTCCTTTCTTGTTGCCAGAGAAGGGCATTCACATTCATACCACACACAAGGGAAGCCCAAAGCCAAGAGCTTCTGCAGCCCTGGGCGTGTGCAGACAAGGCTAGGTACCCCCCAAGACCTTATGTATCTCTGGGATGGTGGCTCCCTCCAGGCCTTCCAACTGGGGATGAGTAGAAAGGAAGATGCCTGGGACTTGGAAAAAAAAAAGCTCTCCGGTCCTCTCCTTTGCTGGATCGTGAATACTCACCTGAGGCAACATGGCTTATAACATAGCAGCCTATGCAGAGAGGAGGTGATGGAGTTTTCTGGGGCACAACCACCTCTGGAGTTCCTGAGCCAAAGCACCCTCCCTCCCCCCACCAAGTGTGCTAGTGTTACTCTGTTTTTCCATTCTCTGACCAGCTCAATACAATAATGCTCAAACTAACACCTAACGTTGTTCCTGACCGTGGGAGAGTTCTACCTGTATTTTCTTGTGTAACCTTTGTGATCACCTGAAGCACATGTCAGTCTTGGGCCCATGTCCCAAGCGTAGGCACAGAGAATGAAGTCACTTGCCCAAGATCACAAAGCTAGAACCTGCCTGGGCCAGGACTGGAATATAGGCAGTCTGCACCTAAAGACCATTCAAGACTCTCTTAATTTAAAGACCTCTGCAAAAACTCATTTTCACCCCATAGTCCATACGGTAGTGGAACGCTTTCATTAAAGGGGCATCGAATGCCTGCAACTGATTCTTACATGGTTTGCTCCCCACTCCCCAAAACGTGTGTGTATGCACGTCTCTGTCTGCGAGGAGACTGAGCAAACGCGGCACTATGTTAGCAAAGGGTGATCTGCGGGCGAATGACACATCATTCACTGTATGACTCCTGCAGCTTTCCTGAAGGTCTGACATTTTCAGGATAAAAAGCTAGAAGAAAAAAGGGGGCCATTACAACCCCTGTCTCCTAAGTAAAAACACCTAGCGTCCCACGTGGCTTTGCAGGAGAGGCTTGCTTTGAGTCAAGTGTCCGTTTTCAGAAGAGTGATTCTAAAGTTAAGTCAGTAAGTGTACCATATACTCCTGATCAACTTCTGAAATGACGTGGGTAGAAGGTGGGCCCCCTGGAGAGAGTGTCTCTGCGTTGAGGCCACCCACTTCTCAGGGCAAGCAGCAGTTAGGATGTCCCCGGCCACCCCCGTGAGACCTGGGGCCCTGTCCTTCCAGGTCGTGTGCACCTCCGCTGACCAGTCCACCTCCTCCCCAGCCAGGACGGGCCCTGCGTCTGTCCGTACCTCTCCGTCGATGTACTTCTCCAGGCAGATGGCGCAGTCGGATGTGGAGCTGCTGCTCAGCGTGTCCAGCGCCCCACAGCTCCCCTCCCGGCGCCCCTTGCTCTTGGAGTTGAACTTCCTGGTTTCCATCTTCTGTAGAGCTTGGATAGCCAGCCTGTTCATGGAATTCTGTGTGGCGGAATGTGGTCCAGGTCAGGGCCCGAGACGTACTAACTGGGAGTCACCCCTAGAGCCACGGGGACAGCCACAGCGCTCGTCCTCTATCGGACCAGAACAGGTTTCTGAGAGAGCACTCGACACTCAGACTGCCACAGCACAGGCTTTCCAGACTCCTGAGGGTCAGCGACCTGGACCCAGGGTTCTCCCAAATGGCAGTCCCAGCACAGGTCGACTTCAATTAGTTGGTCAGACTCTGCAAGACCCTGAGTTATTTGCCTGCTCTATGCCTTGGGTTCCTCCTCTTTACACAGAAGAAAGTTCCGAGGGCAAATGAGACAACGTGCCCGGGTGCTGGCCAAACACAGCCACTGTTCTGTTGGGCTGATGATAGCCACTCACTTGGTGAGCGGTGGGCGATCCTCTCGACAGATTGCCTGTCAGCGTCCACTGTGTCTCCTGAGAGGTCACACTACACAGGGCACATCTAGATTCCCGCTTACCCTCGCCATCAACTTCTGCCCCCAAATCTTGCCCTCCTATGAGCATGGTGATATGCCACTGGGGCACGAAAGGGGCTACTCTGTTTACTGGGAATCGTCCGGAGAGCTTGGAAGATGCAGCTTCTGGCTCAGCAGGTCTGGGGTATGGCTTGAGAGTCTGCATTTCTACCAAGCTCCCAGGGGATCCTGCTGGTGCCCAGGTCATATCTGAGGAGCAAGGCTCTAGGGCTCCGCGTGAACATTTAGACATTTTGTGAGAAAACCCCCTAGCTGGAAGCCCTCCCAATGCTCGGCCTTTGTGGTTCTGGCCCTTTTGGAACAGAGAAGACATAGGGTGATAAGCTTTTCTCTCATTTTCCTCCATCTCTGCCGCTCCCAGGTCACCAGGACCAGGCTGTGGAGCTCAGGCCCCCACCCTGGTTTCCAGGAGTGACAGGGCGGTCGGGTACCTGTGCTGGCAGGCTGCTCCGAGGTATTACCTGACTGCGCCGCTGCTTCAGCTTGATTTTGACAAGGAGGATGAGGCAGACCAAGGAGACCACGACGAAGAACGCCAGGAAAATCCCCATGTCGAAGTACTCAGTGGGTTGCTGGAACAGAACACAGACATGATGAGTCACAGGTCTCTTCAGCCTGGGGATCGGCACCCAGGTTGTGTCAGCCTGGGTTGGGATAAGGTGGGGGCAGCTCGGGTGTGTCTCTCCCCTCGTCTCCAGGCAACACCTCGGTTCTGCTAACCTGCACACGTGCTGTGCTCTCCGGGCCCAGGCAGCCCCCCACGGTGTGGCTAGGGGGAGGCCTGCTGCAGTCTCGGCCGGGGCTCCCCCCGGCCAAGAGCACACGCGTCAGAACGCCTAGCTCCCTGTGGACGAGCGCAAAGTTCGCTGTAACTGGCATGAGAGGCCCATCCAAATGAACACAAATATCATATTTATGGGACAAAGGAGTGAGTGTCATGTTTTGAGGGAACACTGATTACTAACCATGTAATTAATGGTTTACAACAACTCAGAAAATTGTATACTGCTTCCACTACAATGAGTCACATTTACCGAGGCGCTCTTTTTTCCTTTAAAAGGAAGCCAGCAAAGGCAGTTCTTCTGCAAATCCCTTGTACTTTGAGTTCTTATCTTTTCCTCAGGACACACTGCCTCCAAAAATCTTGAAGCCACCTCATTTAGGACATGCAGTTAGCCAAGAGGAATCGAGTTTTGCTAATAGAATGCTGCGGGTATCTACATGTTTTGTGCGTGCAAAAGAATCATCCTATATGTGAATATTTGTGATAAGGAAATAAACCACATATATATATAAAACCTGCCCCAGGTTCCCAGAACCTTCAGCCTGAGGTTTGGGCAGAAGATGCCAGTTAAGAGTCAATGGCCAGCAGTGTCCCTTTGACACGCTCAAGAGAAGCCTCAATGCTATTCATCAACCACCTACAAGGCATAAACTTCAATCCTAGTTGAAAGCTAAGTGCTCCAGATTCAAATATAAGTTAGGGGTTTTCAATAATGCAATTTACCCTCCGGGAAAAAGGAAGTACAGGCCTCTTTCTCTAGTCTGGGACAAACGGAAGGAGGGGGACACAGGAAGCCGGGTACTCCTTCCTTCAATCCCCCTCAGCCTTTCAGAGGGAGGCAGGACAGAAGAGGGCTACCAAGAGGGAATGCCGGGTGGAAGAGACTAGAGACACTTTAGCACAAAATCATCTATTTCTGGAAGGTCTTTTCGAATCCTCTCTAAAGGAACACGGGTGGGGGTTGCCTGGCTGGCTCAGTCAGTTAAACGTCTGACTCATGATTTTGGCTCAGGTCATGATCTCAGGATAGTGAGATCGAGCTCCGCATCAGGCTCTGCACTCAGTGCAGAGTCTGCTTGGGACCCTCTCTCTCCCTCTGACCCCCACCACCCCCTTCGTGCGCACTCTCTGTCTCTCTCTCAAATAAATAAATAAAATCTTAAAAAAAGAGAAAGAAACATGGGTAACATTTCTCCTTCGCCTCCAGCCTTACGTCTGATCTAAACTGTAGGAACCTAGGCTGTATCAGCATTTTACACAGAAAGAAGACAGAAACAAAAGCCCAAAGGGAATAAAGGCACAGGGAGCAGCAGAGAGGGTGCTGGTTGAGGCTGGCCAGGGCCGACAGAGGCTCACTCGAGGGGGGCGGTGCTGAATCCTTGCTCGAGCTACTTTCTGCTTGTTGACAATGTTCATCAGCTTGATGGCATCTGCACCCTTCACGTACACCACTGGCCTCTTGAGCGGGTCTTCTGAGCCCTGGTTTAGCTGAGGAAGAAAAGACAGTTCTGCTTAAAAGACGCTCTTGCTTTAAGAATCAAGAGAGAGGGCGAGAAGTTGAAGGAAAAGAACAGCAAATACCATTTGAAAATCCTCAAAGTCCTCAAGCGTTATAGCCTTGGAGCTTTTGAAGGACAAGGCAGAGAATGATGCTTGTTTTAGGACGGACTGGGCAGGCTGAAGGCCCAGAAGGGTCTTTGAAAATGCCCCCCAAACACCAACTTCCTGGCTCTTCACGCCTACTCAATACCCTTGTCTCGGAGTAGGAATGATGTCTAAACATGGGTTTCTAGGGTCAGCAGACAAGTGCCGAGCCCCGAGGCGAGGGGGACGAGCCCAGCTAACTAACAGTGCTTCTCTCGGGGGGACGGCCACGCCGCATGCCCCACGTGGTTTACCTGGTCAATAGCTTCTGGGTTTTCCGACACATCAAAGATGACCGCAGTGGCTCCCCGCTGCACCGCCCGCTTGGCCTGGCAGAGTTAAAAAGAACAGGTTGGCACTCTCGGTCCTCTTACCTTGCCAAAGCTGGCCTTGGAAATCAGACCTGTATTTGAACGCAGAATCTGACAGTCACCAACTTCCATGACTCTGGGCAAGTTACTAACTTCCCGAAGCCTCAACTTTCCCATCTGTAAGAAAAGGGACAATGCCGCCTACATTGTACGGCTAATCTGAGAACGAGACGAGTCAGAATAGGTGAAAATGAGTAACTGGGTACTCGATTAACCTTTGTCTCCCTGTCCGGCCAAACATTAAAAACACATCCACAACCTGCCCAGTCAGCACGAAGGTATTGGTTTCAGTACTTTCTGCTATGAACACAGAGCCCCTGGCAACCAAAGTAAATGCCTTTGGTGCTTCTCTTGTGGTCCTTCTTCCTTCCCATGTCAGCCAGGACTGCAGTTAGAACAGCACACCAAATATTTCCAAAGGAATCTCAAAATGGTCAATTTTAATAACTGACATAAGCTGAAGACCTTTGGAGATGCTGTCAGCTATGAAAAAAAAATCGTAAATGGGGACTTAGAGCAGTTGGCTGCCAAACCTGGCTACACATCAAAAACCACTTGGGAAGTTTGTAAAGCAGATTTCCTGGCTCAAACCACAGAGACTGATTCAGCAGGGCTGGAGTAAGGCCCAGGAAACGGAGTTCTGGAAGTTTTCTGAGGGATTCAGATGATTCAACCACTTGGGGGACTCTGGATCAGAGAGCTGAGAATGTTTTAGGAACAAATGTAAAGTGGTGGAATTCTGTTTTGAGGGAGGATTCTTTTCTATCCCAGCGAACCTTCTAATTTCATGTCCAGCTAAGCACACAACAGGATGAAAGCTGTGGAAGAACAAGACAAAAGACATAACCCTTGCTTTTAGGAACCTGAATTTTATTAGAGAAGTAAAATACCTCTAAGGTGGGGGAAAAACAACAACAACAAAAAAACATCAAACCTCCTATAAGATGGGCAAATAATGGCTGGTGTTCAGAGATCAACTCTATGAGCCAGAATGTGTGACAAAGAATAAAATTTGAATTGAAGGCATTCCTACTGAGGAAATAATCACTACGGGGATGCAGCATAAGAAGGCAACACAGAACCTAAGGAGATGTGAAAAGTGGCTGGACCAATGGCTTCACAGGCCCACTAGAGGGCAGTCTTATCCCACAGCTTTTACCAGACCAGTCCCCGCACCGTGTACCAAAGACGCAGAACTGTGAAATCCTCTGGATACTGCAAAGTCCCCAGCAACTTAACGAGCCCGGGGAGCCCTGTGTGCTGTGCTGCAGAAGCTGTCCTTCTTCCCCTGGGACTCTTTCTTGTTGAACTGAGACTCAATTTCAAGTCGCTTCTACCGCTTGTCCATCCCACCCCACCGCCTCACCAGCAAGCTGCAGTCGGGAGTGACAAGTTGCCAATCGTGGGCAAGTCACTGAATCTGAGTCCCAGTCTCAGTTTCCCCACCTGTAAGAGGAGGAGGAAGCCTGTTATTACCACTAGGGTCCCTTCCAGTTCCCAATCTTGGCCATTCAATGGAGAGGCACGGGACTGTCCAGAGCAATGAAGAAAGAGCCACAGTGGCCCTATTACCCACCTCCAGCGGGAGAGGACATGATGGCCCAGTGAGAAAGTTTGAGGCCAGGGGGTGTCACCTTGCTCCAAAAGGCTCTTAGGGGCACAGACCCCCTTGCCTGAGGCCAAAAGTCCGTGGGCCCCAGAGTTAATAAGAAATAGGCGCTGTGTCTTTTACTCAGGTGAAACCGTAGTCTTCACAAATTTTCCCTAGATACAGAAGGGCCCCAAGGAACAGCACTGAAAACAGGTAATAAACAGGACCTCTTGTTCCTTTATTTGGCTTTCATTCCACCATCAAGCGTATCAACCAGCACCTGAGGGAACTGTGCATTCAGATCCCTCCGGATCAGGAGGACTGAGCACCTCCCGCTTTGATGCTGGCGCACCTGGAGAGCCTGATGGCCCCAGATGAAAGGTAGGACCTGGGGTAGTGTGGTCTTCAGCCATGTGGCTGGTCACACTTCCAGGCTTCCCATCTCCAAAGGAATGTGGAGGTCTCAAGGATCTGGAGGTGAGGCATGACCCATCCAGGACAGGCACTTTTTAAAAAATTTTTATTGTTATGTTAATCATCATACATTACATCATTAGTTTTTGATGTAGTGTTCCATGATTCAGTTTGTGCATAACACCCAGTGCTCCACGCAGAATGTGCCCTCTTTAATACCCATCACCAGGCTAACCCATCCCCCCACCCCCTCCCGACAGTCTTTTCAACAACAAATGGTGTTGGAAAAACTGGACCACGTTCTTACACACTACATAAAAATAATCTCAAGATGGATTAAAGATATAAATGTAAGACCTG